TATTCCTGCCTCAGTAGGCAGCAGCAGCATAGATCCAAGCTAGGCTTAAGTCTTTGAATTTTCCAGACCACCTGACTTTTTCTTCCTTTCTTCCTTGCCCTTTCCTTCTGATCCTTCCTTTCCTCTCTCCTGCTTCTCTCTGCTCCATTTACGGAGCGAAGCCCAGCAAGGCATGTGCAGTGTTCTCAGGCCCGAAGACACCGACTGCTTCAGCCATGTGAATGGCGGCAAAGGAGATCCCCGAAGGCTTGTCGTCAGGGGAAGATGACCAGGCACATGCCATGGGAACGACAGCTGTGTGGAGTGGCTGTGGGGCCGACCTGCCTGTGAGGCTAGATCAAGCTACCCCAACGTTATTGGCTGAGCTGGCGGCGGCACAACATGCCCAGAAGTACCACTGGCAGCCATCAGGAGACAAACCCGCCAATTCCTTGGGGCATCTACAGCCTGCCGGTGGCCATTTTGGAGGTACAGCCCTAGGCTCTGCTACCTTCCAGACTCCGTTCCAGGGGCCCACGGGGGCAGAGGGAGCACAGCACGTCTCCTCTGGATCACCCCACACTCAAATCGAATCCTAAAGGCGAACTACTTCACAGCAGATGCTACCCTGGACACCCTCACCTTCGCATCCAGGACTACGACCTCCACGGCAGTGGCAGGAAGGCTCTTGTACCTTAAAGCCTGGCATGCTGATGCACAGTCTAAATCCATCGTCACAGGAGATCCCTTCCACGGAGATCAAGTGTTTGGAGACTCCCTGGACAATATTTTGGTGGAGACGTGTGAGAAAAAGAAAGCCATGCCCAGATCCATATGATACCCAACACTCCCTGGCAAGATTTCGCTGCGATACAAAGACATCTTGGGAACTTAACAGGCCCCCTGGCAAGCGGAGTTCCTTTGGATCCAGATTTCACAAGCCAATGTTCAACAAAGGTGACAGAGGGGAATGCGACGCTAAGCCTAAACAGGCTTGACTACGAGTCTCTCCCAGTGGTAACTCACCTTCTCCACTTCTCTTCAGTTTGGACAGAGTCTCAGGTGGATGCCTGGCCGGTGATCGTGTCCGACGGTTGCACAATAGAATTTCAAAGCCTCCCAACAGAAAGATTTCTGAGATCATCGGTCAGCAAATTGCCTGACAAGAAGAGTGTTGTCTGCAAGACCTTGCAACATCTTTTGGACATCAAGGCCATAGAGCCAGTTCCTGCTCTTGAACGGGGACAGGGAGTTTATTCTATCCTGTTCATGGTTCCAAAAAAGAATGGCGATTGGAGAACCGTATTGGATCTCAAGTTTCTGAACAAATATATCAGACTTCGCCAATTTTGCATGGAAATCTTGAGAGCCATTACAGAGTCTCCATTGCCAGACGAGTTCCCGACTTCAATAGATCTCACAGAGGCATACCACACATGTTCCGATTCATCCTTCTCACAAGCATTCCCTGCGATTTTGCGTGCACAGCCAGCATTTCCCATATAGAGCGATTCTGTTTGGCCTGTCCACGGCTCTGAGACTTTTCTCCAAATTGGTGATCAAGCCCGTAGTACATCTCAGGAGCCACGCTTACCCATATTTAGACCTATTGGTTCAGGCCAACAGCCATGCCATACAGAACACAGAGGCAACATTACAGTGCCTCCAGAACCATGCGTTCCTAGTCAATCTTGCCAAAATCTTCCCTTCAGCCGACGCTAAGAATCGAACACCTGGGAGCTGTGATCGACACAACTCGTAATGCTCTTTTTCTACCATCGTCCAAATCCAAGAAGATCAGTAAGATGGCGTCTCTTGTGAACCACGGCACCTGCTCACAACTAATGGTCCTGGCCAAACTATTAGGACTCAGGGCTCTTTTTGTAGCAAGTACTCATTTGCATATTAGGCGACACACCCCTAATGTACCCAATCCTCCAAGAGCTTACAGTAGCCCCTGTAAGAAGAGCTCTGTAAGCTCTTGGAGGATTGGCTACATTAGGGGTGTGTGGCCTAATATGCAAAGGAGTTCCTGCTACAAAAAGAGCCCTGGTCCGACTAATGATTTCCAGTATAGACATGGTGCAATGGGTGTGGCTCCACGCCAGACCTCTGCAATGTTTTCTTCAGCCCTATCAGTGAGCAGTCATGGAAAAGAAGCACTTCAACCTTCGGGTTCCCTCCAGAGTCAAGAACAGTCTTCTCTGGTGGATGAACCGAGACAACCTGGGCCGAGGCAAGGTGTATTACATTCGACAACCCAAGGAGATCTTCACGGATGTGAGTCTCTACAGTTGGGGGGCAACAGTAGCGGATTCCCCTATCCAGGGCATGTGGTATCTGACCGAAGCAACCCTTCCTATCAATCAGTTGGAACTCAGAGCGATTTTTCATGCCTTGACTCACTTCGGTCTCTGTCTCCAAGGCCACCATATCTTGGTGTGGACAGACAACATCTCAGCCAAGGCGTACATCATCAAGCAGGGCGGCTCCAGGTGATCCCAGCTACAATGGGAAGTGATGAAGATACCCAGTTGGGCAGAGAAGAATGTCACATTGATAAGGGTGGAACACATCAAAGGGGTCAACAATGTCCAGGCTGATTGGCTCAGCAGGGAGATCATACAAGAGGGGGAATGGGAGCTGCATCTGGACCTCTTCAGCCTGATAGTTACGCATCTGGGTCAGCCGTCAGTTGACCTGTTTGCATCGCTGAACAACCACAAGCTACCAAGATTCTTCACTTGGTATTATCACCCAGAGGTGGAGGCAACGGATGCTCTCACATCACCCTGGCTGAGGGTCTACTCTTTGCATTTCTGCCATTTGTTTTTTCATCATCATCCTTACTGTGCTGTTCTCTCCTTCCTCCTGGCTTACTGACCTCTGTTATTTCTCTAAGGTGCAGTTCATGTTAAAGTTATGGTTGACAGTTATATATTTTAGGCCAAGGTTATCAGATTTGTTTTAGAACACTGCTTTTGGAGTCCCAGAACTAAGGGGATGGGCTATTCCAGAGGCGCCAACAGGAAGAGGAAAAAACTGTTTCCTGCCTCCTTAAAGGCACAGTGGGAATAACCCATGGAGATGTCCTCCTGACCTCAGAGATGAAGGACCCTTCACAGTAAGTGCCAATGGTCGTTCACCATCCTGAATCTACTGCCCATCAACTTAACTGGCTGTCCCTGTGTTCTAGCTGTTTGGGAGGGGGAATCCTTCTCCCCGTGAACTGAGTTTGTGGGAGTTGTGGAGGCTTTCAGGCCTACATGTCTACATGAAGTGAGAGCAGTTCTTGCTTGATAAGTAGGACAAAAGTGGGATTCTCTTGCCCTGGTCCGATTGTTTTGGGAAAAGCCAATCAGGTGGTAAAGTTTGGTTCTTGAGGATGAACTTCAGGGGATACCACTGGCTTGAGGTGTCCTATATCTTTATTTGCCTTGGAAGTCTACATTTGAGCAGACCATAATCTCTCATCAGATCATCTCTCACAGTGGTTGTGGGGAAGCTAAACAATTGCTTTGGACTCCTTGAGAAACTGGAAACAATTGAAACAAATAGTCATTTGTGGGTAAATGCTGTGATATGAGCTGATTTAAAAGTAACTCAAGAATGTCGCGTATGTATTCCTGAATATATAAGATAGAAATGAAATTAGTTAACAAGACATTTATGGTTCGACTACATAAAGTGTGTTATGTAAATTCTGGTTGGCCCATAAGGATAAGATAAAAAGATTTATTTATTTCATTTATACCCTGCCTGTCTCCCTGTTGGGAACACAAAGCTCATCTTTACCATGTTATCACAAATTCTGAGGTAGGTTTAGGGATGCCATCCCCCAGTTGGGGGCAGGGAATTCCCCTTTCTTGGGCTCTTGCCTGCGACTGGTCAGCAGGGGGATTCCCACCCCCAAATGCGACATACTGACATCATGTAGAAGGAATGTCAGTGGTGATGCTCTGTTTTTGGGCAAAACTCTGTGGTTCGAGGGTGACTTACCATGGAGTTTGCCACATGACGCTGCTGATGTGATGATGTCACGTCAGTGTGACGTCAGTACGTTGCAGCGCTCCCTCCTTCCCAGAAAGTCCCTCTCTCTCCCCCACCGACGCAATCATCGGACTTGGCAACCCTAGGTAGGTTAGGCTGTGTCTGACCCACAGGCACATAACGTGGTGTGGAAAAAACCTTTGTCTGGTAATGCAAAGGTTTTCTTAAATTGTGAAGATGTTTATTTGCCTACCCATGTGATTTTTACTGCTTTTTTCAAATTTACATTCCAAGTAGAAACTGATCTTTGTCAGTAAAATGACCATTATGGCTAGTTGGTACTTCGACAACACAGACCTTTCATATGATTGTCTTACATCACACTGTACAGAGGGGATGATTTGTTTATATTGCCTCCTGTTAGAATCTTTCTTTGTATGAAAGACATGGAATACCACCATTGATTGTGCTCAAACTTTAAAGTGACTGGAAGTAAATGCTGTTATGACCAAAAGTGCTTGAATTTTAATTACAGAAATTATATTGTTCAAGATACACTTTTTAAATGCTTCCTTTCAAGCACATCAGTTGTGTTCCTAATATTGGATTGATTGAATTGATAAGAGAATGAACAAGAACAATGAGAAACCAAAACATGTCAAGTTGATCATTAAATTATTGTTTAAAGCTGATGAAAAATGGAATGTCTGCCAATAAAAATGCTGTTAAGATTGTATGTCAGTTTAGTCCTTAAGGGCACCTAAGGTGAGTCAACTGTTCTTCCCCACCCTTTTTACTGAACTGCTGTTGTAGTCCAATTATTTGTATTTTAACAAGCATTTGGATTATAACAGTCATGTCTTATTTTAAGAAAATGAATGTTCCACTTCTAACCACATTTTAAAATGTCTCAAGCAGGCACAACAAGGCTTCCTGTTACTATTTTGAACAATTGTTTTAAGGATTTCACAGGATATTTTTTGCTTCTGTCCCTTTGTGAAAAAACATTTTACCTCTCCTATACCCTTTAGGTGAAGCTGCTCTAAGAGGGGAACCCAGGATGCAATCACTGCCAGTATCCAGTGGTGTAAACAACCATAGGACAGGGCCACCCCCTATCAGTCCCTGCAAGAGGAAGTTCAGCATGGATCAAGGAGATGATGACCTAGACTGTGAAAATGAACATGTCTCAAAAATGAGTCGAATGTTCAGTCCCCATCTGTAAGTCTTATATTTTCCTTTGGATATTTTGGCTTTTGTGTCAGCTAATTAATGTTTGTTTTTATTTACCACCGCCTAACATGTCCAGTTTTATTCTTTAAAATGTATTAAGATTTTGAAGAAATGAGAAGACGCCCACCAAAATGGCATCCACTTGTCAAATTCTCCCCGTTTAATATGTAGTGATGCTTACCAAATTCTTTGTGTCCTTCTTTTGCTTCCATGTTCAGTGATGTGGCAAGAAGAAAATGTTCAGTGACATAATGGTGCACTACACCTAAATGCTACCACAAATAAGCTGGGAGAAGGGTAACTTGACACAGGGATTCTGTTTTGAGTGGCAGCCCTGTGACTTTTGTAATGTCTAGTTCCGTCATGTGGCATATCAGTATATTGCACACAGAAGTGGGTGTGACATTCTGATGTTGTGTTATAGCCATTTTTAGTTACAATTTTTATATGTCAGATTGAAAATAATGCGTTTTTAAATCATTACTCGGGACAGTCTCTGTTTCTTTCACAAGAGGAAGAAATGTACAAAAAAGAACTTGGTACTCTAAAACCATGTTTTCCTCTATAGCTTGGCTTCAGCTAACAGGAAATACTTAGGTATATTTAAAAATACCATTCCTATTCACTTTAACTTTTCCTTGCAGTAATCTCCCATGCCTTAAGTCTCCTTGCCCTGGGAGGAAAAAGAATGCTTCACATAATTTTTTTTTTGAGGCCAGGAGATTTAGAAACAGCTGCTTAGCAGACTCTATAGTGACAGCTGGCCAGTCTACAAACTCTAAACTCTAGCTATGTGCTTTCATTTTCACTTGGCAACAAGGGTATTTTTGCTGTTCAGGTAAAATATGGGTTGCTGGAAAGGAGAAAAACTGTTTCCATCCATTTTGTGTTATCTTTCCTAGGAATGCTGCTATGGTTGGCATGAAGTAAAAACTGAGGGAATTCCTTTCATTCCTTACTCGAGGAAGTGATTGCAGTGTTTCAGTAACAGCCAGCTTGATAACTGTATGCTGTTCCCTGCTGCCTCAGCTCAAGAAGCACTCCACATTCCACACATTCCACTCAGCTTTGGATTGTTGTGTTCAGTCATAAGATGTGGACTGAGGCACTTTATCCTCTAATAAATCACAGCAGCCTTAGTCAGAAGCTTGCAGACTACAGTCCAGGAATTTATTACAAATAAGAGTTCTAGTACCAATGCAATAAAAACTCTCAAAACAGAAAGGCTGAGCTGCGTGCATGTGTTTTACATACAGTGTTTATGTTGAGTTAACCATTTCTAATCACTCCTTATACTGATAGTTGGGATACTTGTGAAGGAAAAGGTGAAGTACTGAGTCCTTGTGAAATAAAAGTTAAAAAACGTTAGACCCAGGTGGAAGATTAGCACAAGTATCAATTTTGGGAAGCAAAGAAAAATCATTACTTATAAATTCACATAAATAATGGAAATAAATGCACTTTTAACAAAAAATTCCATTTTATGCTTCATAGGCTATAAAATGTTTGAAGTCTGAACTGCCAGAGTAGGATAAAAGTTTACATCACTTCTCTGGAAACCATGATAGAATCTCCATGATGATTTCCAAAAAATGATCTTTCATCTTTGGGTTGTCAAAGTTTAAACAAATTCATGAAGTAGAGTAATCATGTACAAAGACAGTAATACGTATTTTATCATGGATGGAATTTGGGAAGATCCAGATGGAGGCAGAGGCTTGATCTTTCAATTTTTCTAGATTTGTTTTGTACTGTCCCTTTACAAATAATGCAGAGCCTTCAGCAAACCATTAGTTAAACCCACCTTTTTTAGTGTTCAAAAATTTAAAAGCACAGTAACAAAAGCATTGTGCGTCGAATTGTTTGGGCAGTGTTATGTTTGGATTGGAGTTGAGCTGTATGTAATATTTATTTTCACATCTTTATGCTTCTTAAGCGATGTGGAAAAGTTGTGGGCATTGCTTAATGACATCACCAATAAGGTGGATGATTTTTAAAAACTAAAATTTCTTGGTGACAAAGGGTAAAAAAATCTGTGCTTTTCAATTGTAGTATTTAGGCATAGGGAGACTCCGTTATCATGGATGTCCAGCTGAGTCATTATAACAATAGTCCCTGCAGGCTCAGTGGAATATTAGTAGCTATCTCACTAGAGAAGGTAACTGTTCTCTTTAGTAATACGTATTTTATCATGGATGGAATATGGGAAGATTCGGATGGAGGCAGAGGCTTGATCTTTCAATTTTTCTAGATTTGTTTTGTACTGTCCCTTTACAAATAATGCAGAGCCTTCAGCAAACCATTAGTTAAACCCACCTTTTTTAGTGTTCAAAAATTTAAAAGCACAGTAACAAAAGCATTGTGCGTCGAATTGTTTGGGCAGTGTTATGTTTGGATTGGAGTTGAGCTGTATGTAATATTTATTTTCACATCTTTATGCTTCTTAAGCGATGTGGAAAAGTTGTGGGCATTGCTTAATGACATCACCAATAAGGTGGATGATTTTTAAAACTAAAATTTCTTGGTGACAAAGGGTAAAAAAAATCTCCTGTGTTTTTCAATTGTAGTACTTAGCATAGGGAGACTCCGTTATGGATGTCCAGCTGAGTCATCATAACAGTAGTCCCTGCAGGGTCAGTGGAATATTAGTAGCTATCTCACTAGAGAAGGTAACTGTTCTCTTTGAATGCTTTATGTTCATTATTCTCATTTGCTTTGGTAGTTCCTCACCAATTGGGAGAGATCTGCTCTGTTTTTTTAAAAACTTGATCTTGTATCCACTGTTCCTCTGCATAGTAATGTAAACACATCTATCTGTTGGATTGCTGGGCCTTTTGTCTTTATTTTATAATATCATCGGACCACCCTTCTTCTGTTTATAGGAATTCTGCTAATTAAGTGTAACATTCACGTACCTGACGACATGGACCCTAGCTTGCAAAAGCTTGTACAACCGTATACTTGTTAGTCCTAATGGCTGTTTGTGGATTAGCCATCTAAAATGAGTCTGCCTGTATAAGCTTTCATTAGTGTAAGAAGTAGGAATTCCCATTGTGGAGTAATCTTTCCTCTTCAGATGAAGTACCGAAGTTCATACCTTAAACAGGTGAAGCTGCTATACTTTTCACTGACATTTTTTTAAATAAAATTGAGCATTTGAAGACTCATTCTTGTTAGAATCCTTTGCCCCTGGGTACCTCTGTGTTTTATACTGTCTTCAAGGGTGAATTGCAAACAGTACTGTATTATGTTAACCCACACTTACACACATAAACATTGCTGAATAAACATTCAGCAGTAAGTTGCTCATTGGTAATGTTTATTCAGCTCCAAGATAGATCTCCTGAAGCAGACAGTGTCACTGAACATTAGAGGAGAAGAAAGTTACCTTGCAACTCCTGAACAAGGCGAGTTGGATAAAAGTGTATTGGAACTCTGTTTTTGTTTGTTTGTTTATTTGAGGCAGGTTAGCGAACAAATGTTTTAAATCTCCCAAATACAGTTTTTTCCCAATATGGGAAATGTTTGGTATGAGATTCTGGCCCTACCACTCATTTATCTCTTTCTGTCATTATTTATGGATTTTGGTTTCTGTATGATACGCAGAGGTGGATATTTTGGTGAGCAGTGGGGAGGACCTATACCCGCAGCCACTGTTGCCTTAATTTGAGGGATGGTTCTGTACACTTAGAAGTTTATACCCAAGCAGATTCTGATTAATGTTGAAAATGTCTGGATGTTAACAGTGTAAGTGTAACACTAACAAAGTGTTGCCCCTTTAAACAGAGGTCTCAGGCCTGACCTATGTTGTGTGGGTTTCTTGTTTGTCAGGCTGGAGGTATTTTCTCATTTTCACAGTTCAGCTGAAAACAAAGGCCTCCTTATCCTTGCAGGGAGCTCTTAAGAGCTGACATCAGCCTTTTCCCAGCAGGCATCATTTCTGCCTTAAGAGTCCTTGCACAGAGCTGAAAGGCTTGGTAATTTCTCCTCAGATTGTTTACTTTGCCAAGTAACAAATAAAATGAGCAAACTCTTCATAGTACCAAAGAGTTAAGAAAATAGGGGAGGAAAAGTACGAACCTGCTTTTGCTTTTCTAACTTACCTTAATAGCTTGTAGAAATGAAGCTCTCCTTTACATTCTATGTAGGATGTGTGGTTAGGTTTTATGCAGTGTTTTGTAAATTTTTAAGAGATTGGGACTCAGAGTGTTCTCTGTGTTCGGGACCTTTATGATTAAGTCAGCATGTCTGTGCCAAAATGAAGTATATATATGTTTGAGGTTCTACATCAATAGGTTTCTCAGCCTTTTATATATTTATTGGTAAAGTTATATGTACAGTTTTTAGTGCATTTTAGTGCACATTAGTGGTTCATTACAGAGAGAATTCAGGAGCGATCCAACCTTGACTATGTTTCTATGTAACTTCTCTCTGACTACATGGCATACTTTATACTTTTATGCTGCCTGTGATGCTGCCCTTCCCTTTTGTACAGGGCTAATGTGGATTCGACTGGCTTTCGAGCAAGGGAAACCTTTATCTTCACCTTTAATGTGGCTGTAGTGGAGTGGGTGCTTCAGAAGGGCCATGAAATGAACTTTTAGCAAGGTGGGCAGCAAATAATTGCCCCATTTTGCTTTTTTGCTTTTTAAAAAAGCTCCTCCCCATTCACTTCTTTGGTTACTGAGCCAGAAATGTGATTCTTTGGAGATGGATTTTTGTTCATTGTTTTTGGTATGATGCAATGTATGGCAAACCATTTTTGGTTGAGTGATGATATCATTTTTATCAAAGCTGTGAACAGAATGGTATGCCAAGCCTTCAGATATTTTGTTTATGGTTAAATAACTTGATGGTTGTTTTAGGGAAACATCAGTGTTACACTTACATTAACAGGAATCAGCTTGTGTAGGGATGTTCTGGGAATTAAGTTAAAAATTGTGTTGTAAAAATTCCAAGGTTTTCACCATATGCTTAAGTCTGTTCCT